GGCCCGAAACGAGCCGGAAATGTCGGGTGCCGCGCGCAACTTTATCGCCTCCAACCCCTCGACCCGGCTTTCTCCGACACTCAACTAACCCGGCCGACTTAACGCGCACCGTTCCACGTCCGTTCCGCCAACCCTTCGATCGTCACCCGTCGAATCCGCCGCGTTCCGCGTCCTCGATCCGGCGATTACGTGTCGAACTGTTGCTTCGGGGAAAGACGATCGATCCCCGGCACCGCGCGATTCACCGACGTCAACCGCAAAGATCCCCGGGAACCACCCCCGCGATTATTGTCGTTCGTTCCCGGGCCTGACAGGTTTCCACGACAGCTCCGGAGATGTATCGTAACCGGCGAATATATGAAAATCAGCAAGTATAATGAAGAGGGCCGACGACAGCGAATTTTATTGATACGCACACGCCCGGTCCAGAACGTTCTCGAACGTTTAAGTATCATTTGGATCGAGGCTTTTCGATACTTTACGGAGACTTGTGTACCGGTCCGTTTATCAAGTATGATCTGGTAAATTCGAAGGAAATTTTCATATCTGAAATCCTGGAGATTTGTACAATTTACTTGGTCACATACACTGTGTTCTCGATTTATTCATATCCCTTCGGGTAAAGGATACAGAATTCAAATATCGCGTTCCCTTGATTTCAAATATTCAAAATTTTGCAAGCATGCTTAAACTTCTCCGCGATCTATGGATACCGTCATAGCGATTCGTGCGTAAAATCGTTTTGAGCAACGGACGCAGACGATTCCGGCGGAACTTCCCGGGCTGATGCATTTATGCATACCGGGCGCACGTGCCGGCGTCTAATAACTAGGAGCAATGCATCGCGGACGTGGCATTAAACCGTGCGAAAACGTGGCCGCTTGTAGGCATTGTGCGCCCTTAATGTTGCGGGATCGTAATTCTTTTTTAATTAAAACCCGGTAAGGCTCCGTGTTCTTGACTGCCCAGCATCGATCGGCCAATGTTCTTTTCAATGGTGTGTTACTGCGATTGTTTATTGCTCCGCCCGTAATCCGTTGGTAGTTTATTAATTTCACCTCGAGCTCGTTTACAGTCGTCCGCTATCGGCGATTTAATTGCACCTAAAAATAGAGGAAGAAGCACGTCGCGAACGTTATCGCGGCGCATCGATCACCGCCGCCGCCGCCGGATGAAAAGTAACAACGCCGGAGAATCTGATTACCCCGGCTCGTATCTGATCAGCGAATGACCCTCTCGCATGTGCGCGATTCAAATTTATTCCGTCGCCTCCGGGCGACGGCGAAAGACACATCCACCGCCGTGCACAGACAGAATGTGTCTTATCGATCCGTTCTATTGCGATGGCCATAACAAATTCATGGAGCAAAATGCTCGGCATCGTCACGGAGGTGGTAAGAAAACGACGCGCTCTCGCGTTCCCGAGAAACCGAAACGCCGATTTTCCTGTCTCGCATCGTTAATCGATACTAGCCCCTCCAAAACCACCGGAAAATACTGTACACGGAGAGATACGTCAATTTGGGAGCGGACATGCCGTGATGCACGCTTCATTTGGATCCATCCATCCATTTAAGCGGGACTTCCGTGTACTCGCTTCTCAGTTGGTTACGACGTAGATAAGAGCTATTGCTACTTGAACGAAATTGGACTTTAACTGTTCCGAAAATCAATTTCACCTGCCATATCAAGTGTCAATTATAATTCTGCTTATAAAACTGACGCGTGGTTGTCTATCCGGTAACGTGATTATCCTCGCTGGGAGTTTCAATCGTAGAACTGGATCTTATTTTTAGAATGCGCCGAAGTGAGTGTAATCGGAATGCTTCCTTAAAATATTAATATACAGTTGCCGATTATAATACAATGAATTTATATATTGAAAGTAGTGTTTGATTTCACGTAGAAAATATGATCAACTTTCCGATACAATCGGTCCGTCCGTGTTTTCGTTTTTCACCCTCTCGGACTGCGCCAACCCCAACGTCCGAGAGGACGGGGTTTCAATCGATATTTCTATTAATATAAAAAAAAACGAGAAAACAGGAACGACTTGTCGTACTAAATCACTCAGGTTATAAATCCACAACGCGTATACTCTTCCGATAAAGCTTCGCGTGCTACTTTGGGATCACCCTGAAAAATAGATGCGACGTGGCAACCCTTCAATTACCGAGGGCGGTTCATTCTTCTCTTGGAACGATTAAAAATGCAAAACGCGGGAATTGAACTTTGCATTCCTATTACAGTTCGGCTATTGCCGGGAAATATCTATTTCCAACGTCGGAAACGCGTTGGCGTGGAAACGCGTTGGTCAGTAGCCTCTATCGACGATAAGATCGAACGCAAGTAGTAAAATAAAGTCCTAGTCAGCTATAAATATCGAAACTCGGCTATATAATCTCTCGGCATCGCACTTATGGAAACGAGCGGTGTATTTTTACACGGTAGTCGGACGTGCACACCGTTCTTTTAAAAATAAACCGGCATCAGGTGGAGGATACAGGTGTAATCTAGAGCGAGCGAGTATACAGGATGAGTCACCTAACGCCTCCACCTTGAATTACTTGCAAAAAAAGAGGCTACCAAAGTATATGGTTTCAAAAACCAGTAATTACGTAGACATTCTTCAATCCAATTCAACCAAGTGCAGCCATATCACTTCCAGTGAAAAGCATTTGAAAAATACCTCGAAACTTGGTACTTTTCATAGCTTAACTCCTTGTTCAGCGTTCAACACTCTTTCAAACCGTGGAATCGGAACTCACAAGTTACATTCGAGAACAGCAAAATAATAAATCGATTACTACCCTCGACGCACTCTTGACACGACACTTCCATCCGAAACATTTTTCGCACGATGAACAATTGATAAGTGATCCCAAATGATCCAAGGGTGACTCACCCGGCGAAACAAGAGGACCGAGTCGTCCCGTATTATTTATAAAGCGGGCAACGGTACGCGCGCCGTGTCCAATCGAATCCGGGAAATATGAAACAATCGCAAACAGGTAGAATTACGCATTTTCTCCGCGAGCGCCGGGCGGTCTGGCGCGTAATTACCGCGTCGTTGAAGCTTCGGTTACCGTTGTTTCCCGCGCCGATAATTAATTTCGCGTCGTTCCGATGAATAACGACTCGCGATACGCGCGAAACCCGCCC